CTACCAGAGCAGTCCTCTACATTTAATCTGGAGTTTAGGGCTTTAGTTCTTCATTGAGCATCTCAACTGTAACAAGCACTGTTCATTGCTGGATCTTTTTCCTGATGGTGTTCCAATATAGCCTTTGAGGATCCCAGAAAACCATATGCATCAATTTTCCAACTGATGGTTGACTTTTTAATTTTTTGTTGGTCAGTGGTTGAGGATGTTTCCATTCCATACTCTGTTTACTCACAGGCTTGTAGTGATGAATCCATGTCTCGTCACCAGTAATGATTCTTTTAAAGAAACTTTTAACCTTCCTTTGAGTGTTGGTGTAAATTTTGTTTGCAGATATTCAAACGCTCCTGTTTATGCTCTTCCATGTGTTGTTTCGGTACCCATATTGCACACACTTTTTGAAACCCGAGTCTGTCATGGATTATTTCATAAACAGAGCTATGGCTGATTTATAAATGATTTGCCACATAATCCACTGTCACTCATCTATTCGACAGAATCATTTCAAGTGCACGAACAATATCGTCCTCAGCTGTGGATGTGGATGGGTGTTTTAATATAACCACAGTGCAGATAATGTGACTCACCCTTATATTTGCATCACTCTTCTTAACCACTGCATATTATTCCACTATAGTAATAATGCAAGTTACTGGTGATATTATGTTTTTAAATCTGAAAAGATTAAGCTATTTCTGTTGAAACAAAAGCAAGCAAACAACAACAAAAAAAAAACCCTAGAGAACTATGCAAGTCCTTAGTCTTGAGTGCCCCCTACTGGAGGCTCTTCACTGATATTAGCAGAATGCTAAATTAATGAGACAAGAAGTAATTCAAAGACACGGCATTAATTTTTCTGCATATGGCATAAAATCTAAACAGTCATAGTTTTTAACCTCATTTCTTTTTATTGCTTCATTTCTGAGTTTATATTTATCTCTTTCCTCACATTTCATATCCTGAAAAGTTAGCACCACCTCCAAACATCTACACTGTTTAAGCTATATAATTTTTCCATCCCTGAGTCTGTGATTACACACTATACAGTAATCACACTCAATGGAAAAGAAAAACGGGATGTTGGAAGAAAGCTAACCTGAAAAAATTCAGACACTTAGACAAAGAAAACATTGTGATTACTAATGGTGGTATTCCTTTATCATGCAAAGTTCATTTTTATAAAATAACATCGAATATGCTTGCTATTTCACAGGAAAACTAATGTACCTCACATGTTCTTTAACTTTAATTCATGTTGGTTATTATTTTCTATTCTACAAATTCTACATTGCTATTTCTAGGCAGTAATATTTCATACAATCATGATGTTATTACAAAATCATCTTGACTAATAATACTTACAGCTAATCTGTGATTATTTGCAAGGCTGATCAATTGCTGGGCAAGGCCATTTAGTAACCGGGTACGAAGGGATAAGTCATCTAGGTCATGACGAAAAGGAAAAGCAATACTATCCACAATCACTAATCGGACCTAAATACAGAACAGATATTAGGTTTGATATTTAAAAATAAAACATTAAAATGGTATAGAAACAAAGTCATGGCAGCATAGTGGGTTCCACGGTGGTCCGCTAACTACAAAGTCAGCAGCTCAAATCTACCAGGCATGCCTCGAGAAAAACATGAAGCTTTCTTCAACTCCTGTAAAGATTTACAGCCTCAGAATCCATATATAGGGACTATGTGAGTCAGAACTGACTTGTCAGCATACAGCAGTCAGCCATTAAAAGAAAAACCCCATAAAATCCAAGACTTTATATTTCTCCAAAGGACAGCAATAAATCTGTAAGTATAATCATCTATCACAGAGTCCTGGTGTAAAATAATTATGCACTTGGACTGATGACCAAAGGGCTGGCTGTTCAAATTCACCAATTACTCCGTGAGAGAAAGATGAGGCTGTCTGCTCCTGTAAAGACTTAGAGTCTAGGGTCACGATCAGTCAGAATCAACTGGTTAGCAGCAGGTAATCAATCATCCATTGCTTTTTTACAGTAATCACCAAAACCATTGTTTGAATTTTTTCATCTGTGCATCACCTCCCTAAATATATATACATTTGACTCTTTTATGTCATTATACTATTAACTTATTTTGCATGCTTATTGAGGACAGTCAAGTGCCATCGAGTCAGTTCCGACTCATAGCTACCCTGTAATAGGGTTTCTGAAGAATCTCTGGTGGGTGTGAAACGCCAACCTCGGAGTTATTGGTCCAGCGCTTACCCTAAAGAGCCACACTAGGGCTCCATCAAGGATAGTTAATTAACTGTATTTCGGTAGTATGACACATACCTTTGAGTGATCTAACAGGAAGTCTGGAAGAAGATAAACTTGTGCCAGTAGCTCTGTGTAGTCACGACAACGAAAATAATAAATATGGGAAAGAATATTTTCAAGAGTGAAATCCTCCAAAGCTTTCTGGTGCTCTGAAATAAACAGCAAAGCCACCTTAAAATAATTCATTCGAAGATTTTCAATATATTGATGACTGTAGGAAAGTAATACTTGTTTTTCAAACTAAAGGTCTCATATTTATTAATCAATCTCTTAATATGAAAGCTCAAAATCAAGAAAAGGGGGGGGAAACAAGTTTCCTAATACACATTAATACATGTTCTATTGATGAAATCACAGTGCAATTTTAAACTTTATATGTAGGGAAGATCCTTATTTCCTTTCAACATCTTGGGCTCACCAATCTCTTGGAGATATTCCATGTGTCTCGAATCAACTTTCCCCTAAGAGGTTCTCAGTGAAGGAACCCTGGGTCCACAGGATGCACCCTATTCCTGGCTCTTCTTTCTTGTTGGTACTAAAATCCTCCCTTCTCAGCTAGCTTCTCTCTCTTGTTATTTCTTATACAATGAATGGTGATGCAGGCCACATCTTAGAGAAATTCCGCTTACACCAAGGCTGACTTGAGTATGGGTGTTGCATCACACAATCCCCTTAACAACTGATGAGCTGATTGCATCACAGAATATAATTATATCATTGTAGCCTGCCAAATTATCATTATATAACTACCATACCACTAAGAATTATGAGCCAGCCAAGCTGACACATATTTTGGGGAGACACAATTCAATCCATTACAGATACAATTACAACAATGATCCCGTCACATCACAAAAGAGTAGCCGCGGAGGTTGCTTATGTACAACCCAAAACCTGGAGATGCAGTTACTTGGTTTGGAGGTTTAGGGTCTTGGTTTCATGGTTGTTGTTGTTAAGTGCCGTCAAGTCAGTTCCGACCCATAGCGACCCTGTATAGGGTTTC